TGCATCCTGGGGGGGGCACCCTCGAGTGATCGTATGGTTTTGGGGTTTTTGGTTGGCGGAGGGTCTCATGTTCTCGAAGAGTGTTCTTCTGTCCTGGGTCCGACCGTGTCGATACCGCTGCCCTTGCCTCGTATTCGCCTTTTTGGGCCTCCTGGGAGGCCCTCGTCGCCACCGCTGGATTCGCCTCGAAATTCTGGTCACAACGCGCCCTGGGAGAGGTCCGGGAGGAGTAGTGGCATCAGTACCTTTTAATTGCCCCATCCGCGCCCCCCCCCCCTCGGCCTCCCTCGCGGCGCACCCACCGTCACGTCTCCCGCAGCGTGCCGCCCAGAGGCCGTCACCCGCATGGAGGGCGGGAAGGAGCTGTGGTTCTCGTACATTGACCGCATAGGCGGAGCCATGCGGGACCCGGCCAGGCGGTCGAGTGCGGAGCTGGAGGCGCCCCCTGCGTCGCCCCCCTGTCGTACAGAGGAACGCCGTCGGTGCTGATGTGGGCCATAGCCTTGCGTTGCGTGCATGCGTGGTTGTTTGCGTGCGTGCGTGCGTGCGTTGCCGCGTGCGTTGCCGCGTGCGTTGCCGCGTGCGTGTGAGAGAGTGCGTGCGTGCGTGCGTGCGTGCGTGCGTGCGTGCGTGCGTGCGCGCGTTTGTGTGTGTGTGTGTGTGTTTGTGTGTGTATGTGTGTGTGTGTGTGCGTGCGTGCGTGCGTGCGTGCGTGTGTGTGTGTGTGTGTGTGCGTGTGTGTATGTTTGTTTGTTTGTGTTTGTGTGTGTGTGTTGCGCGGGGCACCAGCCAACTGCAACCCTGAACAACAATTGGGCCCCAGTCCAGTCTGGGTGTCACCATTGATGGTGATCGTGGCGATGGTGGTGATATTATGGTGACGACGGAGGGTAAGATGAAGGAGGAACAAGGGGGATAGAACCGAAGACGTTTACGGCGAATCACCGCCGTCCCTTGCCTTTCAGGATATGCTCTGGTGACCAAACGTGTTGGCAAATTTTGGCTGCGCTATTTGACCATGCGTTTCCCCAGCCGTTGTGGAAGCCAGTCGGGGAACACGCGGGGGAGGAAGAGGAGGATGAGGAGAGGAAGAAAAAAGGAGGATCGGAAGGATGAGGAGACCTTTCGGGAGCTTCTGGAGTCATTTTCGGGGCCTCCAGGGAGCTTTCTGGGGGCCTCTTGGATGTCTCTTGGGGGCTTCCTTGACCTTCAGGGCCCTTAGGGGCTTCTTAGGGGCCGCTTTGGCCGTCTTGCGGCGTTCCTGGCCCGTCTGGCGCCGTCGGAAGCCGTCTTGGGATCATCTTTGGGCCGTCTTTGGGCCTTCTTGGTGCGCTTCAGAGTCGTCTCGAACGTCGTCTTGGGCGTCTCAGATGCCTCTTTGGCCGTCTTTGGACCCTTTTGGGGCCGTGTTGTGAGCCTCTTGGGCCGTCCTTTGGCCATCTTTGAGGCCTATAGGGCGATCTTGGGACAATTTTTTGGGCCCCTTGGGCCGTCTCGGGCCGCCAGCAGGCCGACAAACACTTCCGAGAAATCAATGACTTTGGCCTCTTCTGGCCTTTCTGGAGGACCTCTTAGGGGGCCTCTTGTGTCGACTGAGTGGCCTTTCGGGCGCATCTTGGGCCGTCTTGGACTCTCTTGTCTCATCTTGGCGGTCTTCGAGGCATCTTGGAGGCCCTCTCGGGGCAATCATCTCGGTTCTTAGACCCAGACCGCACCCCTGGGAGGAGGGCCAGTCGAGACAGCGGCGACTCTCCCGCCCAGCCCCCAGCCCCGCTCACGGCGTCGGCCCCCCCAGGCCCCTCCCGGATCGAGGGGCTCCCATTCGAGCACCCCTGGGGGCAGGGCCAGCCGAGGCAGCGGCCCCAGGCCCCTCCCGCATCGAGGGGCTCCCATTCGAGCACGCCTGGGGGGAGGGCCAGTGGACACAGCGGCCCCAGGCCCCTCCCGGATCGGGGTGCTCCCACTCGAGCACCCCTGGGAGGAGGGCCAGCCGAGGCAGCGGCGGCTCTCCCGCCCAGCCCCCCCCCGCCCCGCTGCGGCGAGAGCGCCCGCGGGAGCGCCACGCACAGGGTGGAGCACGCCAGGGGGGGGCCCCGCCCGCTCCGCCAGACCCCGCGCTCGCGTCCGCGGCGCCCCATCGCCGGCGAGCGCCGCCCGAGTTGCCGCGCGAGGCGAGCTTCCATCGCCAGGCTGCAGCGTGCCGAGGGGTTCAACAGATGAGCCGTGAGACGAGGGAGGGGCCCGCGAGGGCGCAGATGGGGCCCCCGGAGGGATTCTGGGGGATCCGATTGTTGAGGATCATGCTGTTGTTGATGATGTTGATGATGACCGTGATGGTGAATCTGCTGTTGCTGTTGCTGCTGCTGCTGGTGATGGTGATGCTGATGCTGCTGATACTGATGGTGGTGATGATGATGAAGATGCTGCTGATGATGACGATGCTGATGCTGATGATGACGATTATGTTGGTGAGGGTGATGATGATACTAAGTACTGATGCTGATCATGGTGATGGTGATCATTACGGTGATGGCGATGGTGATGGTGATGTTGGTGATGGCGAGGGTTATGATGACGATGATGCTGCTGCTGATGATGATGACGACGCTTATGATTCTGATAATGATGATGATGTTGGTGATGGTGATGGTGATGCTGAGTACTGATGCTGATCATGGTGATGGTGATAATGACGGTGATGTTGATGGTGATGTTGATGATGCTGGTGATGGCGCGTGTTCTGATGATGATGATGGTGCTGATGATGATGATGATGATGATTATGATGATGCTGATGATGTTGTCGATGATGATGTTGATGCTGATGAGGATAACGATTAGGATGATGAGGATTATGCTGATGTTGATGCTGCTGCTGATGCTGCTGTTGCTGATGATGCTGATGGTGATGCTGATGCGGATGATATGATTCGGATGATGATGATGATGATGATGATGATGATGCTGCTGATGGTGATGCTGATGAGGATGATGATGATACGGATGCTGAAGATGCTGATGACAAGTATGATGATACTGAGGATGATGATGAGGATGAGGATGCGGATGCTGATTATGATGATGTTGATGATGATGCTGACAATGATGATGAGGATGTTGATGATGCTGATGATGATGATGATGATGTTGGTGATGATGGCGCTGATGCTGATGCTTATACTGCTGCAGCTGATGATGCTGATGCTGATGAGTATGCTGATGCTGATGCTGATGCTGCTGCTGATGATGATGACGACGATGATGCTGTTGATGATGATGCTGATGCTGCTGATGATGATGGTGATGATGACGGTGATGATGACGGTGATGATCATGATGATGATGATGATGATGATGATGATGATGATGATGATGATGATGATGATGATGATGATGATGATGATGATGATGATGATGCTGATGATGACGATGATGATGATGATGATGATGATGATGATGATGATGGTGTAAGTGCAATAGGTGAGGTGCCCGTGAGGGCGCAGAGTGACCGAGCGAGTTTTCCGCCCCTGAGCCTCTTCCTGCCCGAGGGGAGTGGGCCAGCCCAGCGGGCGCGCGCCCGAGACTCCTCCCTGCCTCTCAGGGGGGCCACCAGGTAGCGATACCGCTGCCCTGCCCTCGCCTTCCCTCTTCTCAGCCTCGTTTGACCGACCCCCTATCCCCATCCCCATCCCCATCCCCGACCCCCACCACCTCAGCACCCCTGCTGGGAGAGCACCCCTCGGAACCCGAAGGAAACAGCCTTTCTCGCCATCTATAGGGGGGCAACTCGGCCAGCGGGGCCCAGGCCGTGCCCATATGGGGATCGGGGTCGGTTGCACGATGCTCCTCTCCGGGTCTCCCGGGAGCCTCTTCGCCCCCACGGGCGGATTCGCCTCGAAGTTCTGGTCAGAACGGATTCCCGGAGTGGTCTTCGGAGATGGGTACACACATTCTCCACTCCGAGATTTGGAGTGGATTCTCCACTCAGAACGGAGAGGTCAGAACGGATTCTGCCAAGAAACACTCTGCTTGCCTCCAGAGTGCCCTGGGTTTCTTGGGTTTCGGTGGTTTTGCTGGGGAGAGCGTGACGCTCCCACACCAGAACTCACTGGGCGTCCTGGACGGGGGGGCCCTCCGCCTCTGGCCTGTGACCGCATGCTGGCCGCGCGGCGATGTGCCGGGCGAGCCGCCGGACTGCGGGCGCCGCGCCGGGCGGCGGCTCGCTGCCTGGCAGCCTCCTCGGGCGTCTGCGGCCGGGAGCCGCTGCTCTTCACGCCAGGGCCGCTCACGACCTCGGCGGCGGTGAAGCAGGCTGGGGGCAGCGTTGGTGGAGGGCAGGAGGATGTGGGGGAGGTTCGAGTTTGGGGGTTTCTGGACGCTTTCGCTGTTTCTGGGCGGTCTTCCAGCCTCGGGGTGCCGTCCAGTCGCTGCGCCTCGCCGCGGGCGTGCCGGGGGTGCCAGGATCGTGCCGAACAGCCGCTCACGACCTCGGCGGCAGTGAGTCAGGAGGGGGAAAAACACACAGACACAATTAATCGTCGATTCCCAAGAAAATATGGGAAAATATGGGAAGTGGGGGGGAAGACTAAACCCCAGAAAATATAGGAACATATTGGGAATCCTTTTATTTGTGTGTACTTATTTGTGTGTTCCAGGGCCCCTTCAGTGAAGCAGTTCAGAGGCAACGTTTGGGGTATCAGAGGGGATGTCGATAATCTCATCCAGGAGTACAGAGTCCCCCCCACTTCCGGTGAATAGATAACGCATCGAGCATCCAGGAGCGATTGCTTGGTACCCTGGCACTTGGCCGCTGATCAGCGCTCCTCTGGACCCCCCAGCAACCCTCGAGCGTGGCGACAGTTTCGCAGAGCTCGCAGCCCAATTGATGGCGTAGCAGCGTGCTAAGCTAGGCCCGCCAGCATTGCTACTACTACTACTGCTGCTACTACTACTGCTGCTACTTCTACTGCTACTGCAACTGCTCTTCCTATTGCTACTGC